GTGTGTGTGTGTGTGTGTGTGTGTGTGTGTGTGTGTGTGTGTGTGTGTGTGCACCTGTGTGTATGTGTTTGTGTGTAGTACATGTATATGAGCTTTGATGTGTTAAAATAATTATGTTTTTATTTTCAATAATGGAGATATTGGCATTGTGTTCCTGAGGCTGTGTTGTGTTTCTTCCATACATATTTTATCCAGCCCATCTACTCGTAATCGAAGTATATAGGTATGTGAGAGTCACAGAGTTGTAACTTGTAAGAAAATCACGTAGACTTATATTTCATGTATTCTGTAGACTGTGCACTCTGGCATAATTCAAGTTCACCTTGGAGCGCACCATTAAATTATGCTCTCAGTTTGAAATCATATTAAAGGTAAAAGGGGGGGGGGGATTGTGCATGCATTTCGGCTCAAACGAAACTTGTATTTTGCCTTTAATTTGCACACCTATGGTACACACACGTCGCAGCGAAGTTCTGTATAGAGAGCATGGAACTGTGGTCGTGACAATGTTTGATCTAGGATGTTATACGGGGTGCCCATTGCGGGTAGAATCGGGTCGAGTCGGGCCAGGGGCGATCGCCCCACTCGTCGCCTGAAAACAACTCGTTTGGGGGTTTTTTAGGCGACGATTCGAGCACGATTGTTTTTAATTTTAGGCGATCCCATTTGCAATGGGCACCCCGTACAATGTATTACAGTCGACTCCGCTTGTGTTGAACTCACTTGAGTTGATATTCGGTTGAGTTGATCTTTTCTCGGGTCCCAGTACCTCTTTCATTTTTACAGTTGCCAACGACTGGGTTGAACTTTGGATGAGTTGATCTATTTTTCACCCCCTAGACGACTTCAGCTCATTTGTAGTCGACTGTATTATTCAAGTTCAAGTCAATGGAATGTCCTAATGCGGTCTTTGACTTTGAGAGTCGGAGAATTTTTTGCAGGTGGTTAGCGGGTGCTTTGGTGTGGTTAGCTCCTTTTTTCCTATCAAACTTCTGTGATCCTTATCGCTCCTCCTTCTTTTTCTGTTTGTTACTCTCTTGTAACTCCTCTGATCTTCGGCACTTATATGACCTTATTGTGTTGCAAGTGCAGTAAAACTCTTATAACTAAAACTAAAAGGATACTTTTTTTCAGCTTGAGACCAGGGTTGCAGATGCTTTGTCGAAACCTTTCCAGCAGACTAATGGGTAAGTAAATTTACGAAATGAGAAAAAGGTTTTAAAATATGTAACTTTGTGATGATGATGATGATGATGATGATGATGATGATGATGATGATGATGATGATGATGATGATGATGATGATGATGAGGATTTCGTAAATCTCATACACTGTTGGCAGGCTGTTCAACTGTTTAAATCACACAGAGCCAAATTGTCCAGGAGCTGTATCTAAATTATGTATCTGTCTTTGCTTTTTTTTTCCAACAATTATAATTCGAATTTGACAAAGCAGTTGCAAGTCCTACAACAGCTTATGGTAATGATCATAAATCATCTCTTTCTGCATCATCATCATCATTGCCTTTCGCACCCTGGGTCAGGGTATAGACCAGGAGCAAACACTTTCCACCTTTCCCTATCCTAGTCTAGTCTCTTGATGTTAATCCATGTCTCCCCACTTTTCTGTACAAAGATTTCGGTGACTCTTCTCCAGGTTCCACGTGGTCTTCCCGTTAATCTTTTCTCTCTTTTTCTTACAAGTTGATTATCATCTGATGATTTTTTTTTAAAATTCCCTTCCCTTACTTTTCATGTCACTTAGACCCATCACAATGAAGTACACCGACTTTAAAGTTACCAACTGGGCAAATGATGCAGACACGAACAATGACGGCATCGTTTCGAGATCAGAAATCTCCACAGCACTGAGAGCTCTTGATTCTAACGGTGAGTGTTGTAAAAGTGTATATTTGTTTTGTGTTAAAGCTGATAGGTGCTTGACCGTCGCACACAAAGACCTAAGTTCAGTCGCGTGTAGGGAGAATTTATATCGAGTAGCAGAGACGTTGCATTAATATAGTGTAAAGCGCATAGAGCCTGCTGTTGAGCGGGGATATGCGCTATACAAATGCTATCTATTATTATATTATTATTCTCAAATTATTTAAATTGTGTTGATGGTGGCGCAAAAAACATCCACGTGTTTTTTTTGGTTTGTTTGCGCCGAGACTTCGAGACTTAATCGAATTCGACTTCGTGGAGGCTATGTTGAGAAGACGTTGCATTTGTACTTAAAGTAAGGGCACAGTAATTCAGGCATCTTTTTTTCTTCTTCAATAAGCGTTCTTGCATTGGACCACAGTAACCGCAATACATTTTTTTTTTGGCTATTCAAATTACAACACTTTTTCTTTTTAAAAAAATAGTGTCAGTCGTATCTCCCTCTCTTCAGTGAATCACAAATCTTTGAGTTTGGAGAAGCTTCAAACAGTCCTATATCATCATCATCGTTATCGTCGTCGTCGCCTTCTTCTCAGATTTATCATGATACTACTATTACAACAACAACAATGACAACAACAACAACAACAACAACAACAACAACAACAACTATTACTACTATTACAACTACTACTACTACCACTAGTAGTAGTAGTAGTAGTAGTAGTAGTAGTAGTAGTAGTAGTAGTAGTAGTA